CCCTCCACCGCCCTCCTTCCCCTCATAGCAGGCTTTACACTGCTCTGTGTCTGCATATGCAAATTACCTCCATCTTTGTTGGGTTAATTTGCATACTCACTCTGATTGGCTGTGGGTGTAGTGAGATGATGGTTAATTTGTATGTTTCTCTTTTATTAGGTAAGATTACTTGTGTTAATATCTTACTGTGCCTAGTTTATAAATTAAACTTTGCCATAGTTATGGGTGTATAGAGAAGTCATGGCATGTATCGAGTTGGTACTCTATGGTTTCAGGCAGCCACGGGGGGTATCCCATGGAGAAGAGGGGACTGCTGTACTTTTCAAACTGCCTTCGGTCTCTGTACTGCGAGAGTGACCTGAGTGAAGACACACTACAGAAGAACTTCATATTTCATAATAGCATGTGTATCCATTTCTAACAAGACATAGGAAATTCATGAATATTATATGTTTTACCTTGGATTATTATGAAAAACCATATTGCTTACACCAGAAACAAAACAATGGTACAATTTCCTATTTCTTGCACTGCGTTAGAAGAATTCTCTGGCATAATGAAGAAATCATGACATCACCTTCTAACTTTAAAATGTTTTATTTAACCAATGCAACCACATTGAATGAATTCTGATTGGGGGAAGTTAGTTGCTTGCTAATTGGTGGACGATTACAATTACGTTTGGACACTATATCCAGCAGGATGTCACCGAGCTCAGTGCAAACGTCCATCCAGGTCCTGTCCCTCTGCTCACGCTCTCTCATAAACTCTGGTGGAAGTGACTCCTTTCATGATACACTCCTAGACACACAAAGACATTCATGGTCAGCGAGTCCCTTTGCTTATGGTCTCCCTCAGGGTTAGGACAGCTATTTGTCCCTACATGTACCTGATGTAATACATCAGGGAGATAGTAAGACCAAGAAGATAACATTTCCCTCTTAAGTGGCCTCACAATCAGGATGGGGGTGAGGGGTGCAAGCAGAAGTGCATGGTGCATGCTCAGAGTCAGGCCGTGCTTCCCAGGGAGAGCATGCCAGGCTGAGCCGCAGGCACAAAGGCAACAGAATGAATCCCAAAATCCCGACGGAGACAGTGCTCCTGCCTCGGAAGCAGCAGTGGTTACCCGTGTGTCTGGGCGGAATGGTGGCTGGAGATGGCCCGCAGGGGATCTGGTGGCGAGAACATACTCACCACCACGAGTTTGTCATCCACTCGCTTCCTCTTGATGGTGGTTGACTTCCCGTCCCACTTCTGCACCTGCACGAGGGCGCCCCCGTCCAAGGTGATGAGGCTCTGGGTGAACAGGAAGCGGGGGGCTGTTACACGCAGGCAAAGCACAGAGAACCCGCCGCCTTGTGGGCGGCGTCCTGGAGGTCATTAGAAACTCTTAATTATGGGAATATGTTGCCACAAGAAATTAAATGAATGTCAACATACGCTGTGATCAGAACGTCGTACAAACATGCATTCGAAAAATGCTGTGAAAGAATATAGATCATAAATCTACGTTGAGGTGGTAGTATCCTAAGTAATTTGGAAACGCTTTGTAAACTTCCCTAACATTATGTTACTTAATCAGCTTCAAATACTATATATAATACATCAAATGACAAAAGGTTATTGTTTCTTAAAATAATGACAACTTTATAAGAAGGAATGAAAGCCACCAATTAAATATCAAAGGCAACGAAGTTCAGAGGGAGGGAGTCAGGGGGCTCCTGCCCTTGGAGGGCGGTCTCCCCTCTCACGGGCCATTCAGGGCAGTGGCTGGTCATTGAGAATAGGTTTTCCCTCCACCCCAGCCCCTCCCTCCTCACCTTGACCTTTCTGTCATCTGCAGTGACTTCGTCAAACTCCTGGCCCAGCTTGAAGGAGATCTCCGTGTTCTTAAAGGTGCTTTCCGATTTAATGGTGATCACATCCCCATTGACGCTGATGGTCATGTTGGGCTTGGCCATGCCAGCCACCTTCCTGGTGGCAAAGCCCACTCCTGCGGGGGGAGGACAGGGCAGGTTTACAGCGTCCTGGCGCGTCTTTAAGAAAGAGCTGCGTGAGGCTACGGTGGTGCACACACATGAGTGGGGGAGGGGGGTGTGCATGAGGGGGAGACGGTGACTGTCCAATCGTCTCGTTCAAACAGCTGCTGCAGGGAAGTAACGAGGAGACTCTTCATAGACACGCACGCAGCATGCTGGCTGCAGGTTTGTCCCTTACGTCTCCCTCTGTTCAGAGGCAGCCCCCAGGAGACCGCTGTCCCTTTTCCACCAGAATGCGCCTTGGGGATGTGGTGTCTTCCAGTCACTGCCCTCAGCCAGCCCCTGGCCTTCCCTCCGTTCAGTACACCCTGGGCACTGCGACCTTGTTTTCTTAAGTAAACATGACCTGGTGCGCAGTCCAAGACAGAATCCCCACAGGGATACTGGCCGTTAGGGTCACTCAGTTAAAAAATGCCATCCCCTTGGGTGTCCAGAGATAACATCTCACAGCGTCTGCTGCCCCGTCTCTCTCACCCCACCCCACCAGCGGATGAGGTTCAGATGGATCCCCCAAAGGCAAACCATGTGGCCCCACTCATGCAGGCAGATTAAAGAGGGCCTCACAGCGACTGACATTTCAACATTCAAGAAGCCACGGTTCCAGTGAGTTTGGTAATCGATGCTTTGCTTGCCAATCACCTGAATTACAAATTTCTTTTTTCTTAAGCAGAACCTACTTTTCTTGCTAAGAGGATGGGATGACAATTTACTGCTGAGCAGACCAGCAGTCAGGTTCTCTCTGTGTGTGTTGGGTTCCTTTTAACACGTGCACAGGGCCAAAACCAGTTTGGCTCAGTAGTAGAGCATTGGTCTGTGGACTGAAAGGTCCCAGGTTTGATTCCGGTCAAGGGCATGTACATTGGTTGCAGGCACATCCCCTGTAGGGGGTGTGCAGGAGGCAGCTGATCGATTCTCAATGTCTCTCTCTCATCGATGTTTCTAGCTCTCTATTCCTCTCCTTCCTCTCTGTAAAAAATCAATAAAATATATTTTTTAAAAATAAAATAAATAAATAAACACATGCACAGAAGTCTCTGCTCCTGATGTGACAGACACCACAGGTTGGAAATGGGGACCAGGGAGAGAAATTGAGAACAGAACAGCGGGTGCTGAGGCTCTGCTTGATCTCCCTGCCGCAGACGTGCCAGAGGCGGGAGCTGCGAGGCCGCTTCTCTGAGTCTGGCTGTGTTACAAATAGAACATCAGATACAGGGTGTTTCAGTGGTTTCAGGCCGGGTGGCTCCAGGGAGACCAGCCTTCTCCACCTGCCTGCTTTCGCCCTGTTGACCGACCATCAACCAGCGCAGCTAATTTAAGGCGGCGTCTTATTGTCTTATCACCAGAATTTTATCAATTTAAATGTAAACAGTAAAAGTGTAAAATGTTTCTAAAAGTCAATAGCTAAGTAGCCTCAAATCCTGGCATTTCCATATCAGCACCTATTAGTGTATGGAATAAAAATTAATTGATATTCTGGAAAGTTAGGTCTCACTCATGCTGAAGTCCTTCCTGCTTTCACTATAAACAAGGAAAATGGTGGTTATAGAGAAGCAACAAAACATGCTGTGTGCCTTGGGGGGCCGAGGGGGGAGGTTAAAGTTGAGGCTTAGGGAATAAGTTCCAACCCCTGATTTGGTCATGCTCAGGTGGGTGGGGCTCTCAAGCTGAGAGAGGCATTGATCCTGCCTCCTGCACACCCACTCCTGGGGGTGAGCCCCGCCTCCCTACAACCTTGCTCTGCTCCCTCATTGCCTGGGGACCTTCAGGTGGCACACTGACAACCCTAGCAGAATCTAAAGACCCAGGAGCCTCCATTATCAAGGAGAAGGGATGTTATGTGTGTAACATTCTCCTTCTCAATGATCAGTAATTCTGTGGCATCCCATGGATTTGCTAGTCACAGAAATACTTCAGCCCGTTAAGGAACACACTCTCTAAAATTAAGACTTTTAGGGGAAAGGGGCTGGGTGGGAAAGGTGAAGGGATTAAGCAAAACAAACAAACAAACAAAAATCAACAACCTCACAGACACAGTAGGGGACTACCAAAGGGAAAGGGGGGAGGGGGGAAGAGCAGGTAAAAGAGCATAAAGGGGGAACAAATAATGATGGAAGGAGACGGGACTCGGGGTGATAAACACACAATACAATATACAGATGATGTATATAGAATTGTACACCTGAAACCTACATAGCTTTATTAACCAATGTCACCTCAATAAATTCAACAACAAAAAATATTTTACCCCCCACAAAACCACACACATATTAATGGATTGATATTAAGACAATAAAGTAATTGGTTAACATAAGTCTACTTTTAAAATTATATGAATATGAGAAATACAGTGTCAAAGGGCATTACTGCTTGCTAGGAAATAAATATGGTTGTATTTCCAAGTTATTTCTTCTTTTTAATGTTTTTATTGGTTTTAGAGAGAGAAAGGGAAAGGAAGGAAAGTTAGGAACATCAATGATGAGAGGTGTTTGGCTGCCTCCTGCACGCCCCCTACTGGGGACCGAGCCCCATACCCAGGCATGTGCCCTGACTGGGAATCAAACCGGCAACCTCCTGGCGCGAGGGTTGAGGCTCAAACATTGAGCCACCCCAGCCGGGCTCCTTTTTCTGTGCAAGAAGGAATGAAAGACAAGCAGGCAAAGAGCCAAGTAAACCAAAGGTGCCCGCGGTTTGCAATCAGATGAAATCTTTTCAGTGCCCATAAAAATTCCTTTCAGACCTTTTTTCCACCTTGGTTCACCTGTCACTGTGACTCCGGTCAACAATGTCTCTACCAGCAAATGGTCTCACTCGCTGTTTTTGTGCCCCGGAGAGAAGACAGCCTTCCACATCGGCCAGCGCTTCCAGAGTGGACACAGCCACAAGCCCCGCTGGCCCGGAGAAAGGGGCTTGCACGCAGCCCCCCGCCACGTGCTCGCTTACCCACTTCCTTCATGTAATCATCGAAGTTCTCACTGGAGACCATCTTCCAGGTACCTACGAAGGCGTCACACATCTTGAGAGCTGTCCGGACTCCTCTGCCAAGTGGGAAGAAGCTGCTGCCCTTGGGACTGTGCTGTGTCCGGCCGAGTCCCGGGGACGCCCTTTTAAAGATGCCCAGAGCACGTGACCGGAGGAAGGACCAATTGGGAATGATGTCGGACCATTTCCTTCTCTACCAGACTCTGCATTTTCCTCTCTGAGTCATGTTCCTCACAGAAATTTCTCAACTTTGGCTCTCCCTGGCAAACGGTCACCGGACTGGGAGTACAGATTATTTTTAACCGCTCGCGGAATCTGTCAAACATGCCTGTTTTGAAGGTTTAATCCTCGATGCATTGTGTTTCCCCCTATTATTTCCAGATGCATTTATCCCAGTGGAGAGCACAGCCAGGTAATTATCTCAGGGTGAACTCTGACCCCTTTTTCTGGAGTTCCTATTAAAATTACAATTAAGTGCCTATTTTGAATTGAGGAACATAGAATTTGCCTTGGGGATTTTTAAGTCATCGGAAAGACTCTTTGGAACAGTGCTCTCAGGAACCAACTGGCAATTAAAACGAAGTAAGTGATGGCATTTTGCAGTTCCCCAGGTTTCTCATTTAAAAGGTTTTGCATGAATAAAAAAGGAAAAAGTAACTTCAGTGAACCCACTGGGAATCTGGATGTAGGATTAACTGATAGTGATTTAGTCTCCCTCTTTCACCCCCTAACAACTTAGCCTCTCTCTTTTATCCCACATATATTTGACCAACTTCCAGAAACTCCTTAAAAAATAGGCCCCCATCCAAAACATACTCATCTCACAGAGAAATTTTATTCATTTCTTAAATTATATTATGAACTCCAGATTTATCCTGATCTAACAAGTGTCACTTAAAATGACCACAAGTGGTCTGGTCATAAACCACCAAAACCGCATTCCTTCTTTCACAGAGTCACCGGGAGATGGCTCTTCTGGAGTGGAAACGGTTTCAGTTCTGCCCGCCACCCTGTACTCTCCGCAGCCACCTGACACCTGCACACGGTCCTCAGACCCGGGCAGCAGCCTGAGGGCTCCCCGCAGTGCTTGGGGCGGAGAGCACAGAGCAATGTTTGACTGCTGGCGTTTGTAGTCTGTACAGAGATCACGCCCGTCCCCTGTGGAGAGCTGCCCAGATCCAAGGACTGCGGGCAATGCCCATCCCGGGCCGGCTTGCTATGGTCAATGCCTCTGTTCCCCACGGGACAAATAAATGAAAATGGCCAATCTGAGTGCAGAGATAACTGTGTGATGCTCTACATTAATAACTGTTTTGTCTTTGGTTTTGTGTTGTTTTGCTTTTAAAACTATTTTTATTTTTTTAAATATATTTTATTGATTTTTTACAGAGAGGAAGGTAGAGGGATAGAGAGTCAGAAACATTGATGAGAGAGAAACATCGATCAGCTGCCTCCTGCACACCCCCCACTGGGAATGTGCCCCCAACCAAGGTACATGCCCTTGACCAGAATGGAACCTGGGACCTTTCAGTCTGCAGGCGGACGCTCTACCACTGAGCCAAACCGGTTTCAGCTAAAACTATTTTTAGAGAAGTTTGAGAGCTACAATAAAATTGAGAGGAAGGTAGAGAGATTTACCATCCCTACCATCCCTACACACCTGTGTATACTTCCTCCTCCCCCCCGCCCCCCGCCCGTCATCAACGTCACTCAGCAAAGCACTCTTCCTTTTCTCTCTCTCTCTCTCTCTTTTTTTTTTTTAAAATATATTTTATTGGTTTTTTACAGAGAGGAAGGGAGAGAGATAGAGAGCTAGAAACGTCGATGAGAGAAACATCGACCAGCTGCCTCTTGCACACCCCCTACCGGGGATGTGCCCGCAAGCAACGTACATGCCCCTGACCAGAATCGAACCTGGGACCTTTCAGTCCACAGACCGATGCTCTACCACTGAACCAAACCGGTTTCGGCCCTTTTCTCTCTCTCTCTCTCTCTCTCTCTCTCTCTCTTTTTTTTTTTTACCAAGGATGAGCCTACACTGATACATAATAATCACACCACGTCCAGAGTTTCCCTCCGGGTCCACTTTTGGTGCACATCCGATGGCTCTGGACAAGTGTCATCACTATAGTGTCGTACAGAGTCGTGTCACTATCCTAAACACCCTCTGTGCTCTGCCTCCCCACACTCACCCCGCCACCGTCGCGATTTTTATGTCTCGAAGTTTGGCCTTTTCCAAAATGTCATAGAGTTGGAATCACACTGTGTGCGGTCTTTTCAGATGGGCTTCTTCTGCTCACCAATATGCATTCCGGTTCCTCCGTGTCTTTTCAGGCCCGGGTAGCTCATTTCTTTTCAGCGTGGAGTGATATGCCATTGTGGGTTGGACCAGTTTGCCCACCCGCCTGCTGAAGGACGCCTTGGTTGCTTCCAAGACCTGGCAGTTATGAGCAGAGTTGCCGCAGGCGCCCTGTGCGGGTCTTCATGTGGCTGTGAGCTGTGCGCTCCTTTGAGTGATACCAAGGAGCGTGGTGGCGGGACAGTGGGTTAGAGTATGTTTAGGTTTGAAAGAAACCACCAGACTGTCTGCCAGGGTGCTGCACCATGTGGATTCCATGGGCACTGAGGGGGATTGGCATGGCCACACCCCCACCAGCACTGGGTGCTGTCAGAGTTCTGCATTTCCACCATGACTGTGGGCAGTGGTCTCAGTGTGTTTTACTCCGCGTCTCCTGGTGCTGCAGGATGGGGAGCATCTTTTCACATGATGTCTTCTCTGGTGATGTGTCTGTTTAGGTCTTTGGTCCATTTTTTAATTGGGTGGTTTGCTTTATTATAGTTGAGGTTTTAAAAATTAAAATATATTTGACAGATAACATTGTACAACTTTAAGGTATACAACATGTTAATTTGATGCAGTTATGTATTGTAACATGATTGCCTTTGTGGTGATAATTAGCACCTCTATCACATTATATAATTATCCTTCCTTGTTAGTGATTAGAACCATTAGGTTTTTAGTCTCTCGGCAAATTGATGATTTCAGCACAATATTGTTGCTGTCTGTGATCACCACGCTTGTTTGCTACTCTTATTGTTGAGTTATTTCATTGTATGTTTTGGGTAATATCCTTTATGTCTTTTGCAAATATTTTATCTTAGTCTGAGAATAATGGCTTACTTTTCAAAATATATGTTGATGCTTTACTTTTAGTAACAAATCACTTCAATCAGATCTTCAAATGATTGTCACATGTGAATATACATCAGATGTATTGTAACACTGCAATGATTGTCACATGTGAATATATGTCACATGTATTGTAATACTACAATGTAAATGCTGCAGTATTTAGAGAGGGACTGTTCAACATTACCATCTGGTCAGTACTGAATACTTGACATGGGCTAATGTGACTGAGAAACCGAGTATTTAATTTTCCTTAATTTTAATTAAAATTTAAGAAACACTCCTTTTTAATTTTTTTCTTTTTTAATTTTTAAAAGTGTATCTTTATCATTGATAGTATTTCAAATGTCCTCTTTTCCCCATTGACCCCTCCTCCCCACTCCCACCCCTCCCCAAGCCTTCATCACACTACTGTCTGTGTCCTTAATTCACTTGCTTAAAAACGGTTAAATATCTCTGGGAGAACTTGGGTATGTGAATCAACTTTTCAACTGTAATGTTATAAAGTCTGAATGCCTACCAACTGCTTCAACAGAAAATTTAGAGTCTGAATCGAAGTGTATTGTTACTATAAAATGCATGTTGAGTTCTGAGGACAGGAGGAAATAACAATAAAATGTCTAATTAAAAATTTTACATGATTATATGTGAAAATGGCAAATCATATCTATGTTGGGTGAAGTAGAATAATTACTAAAATTAATTTAGCATCTATCTCTGACTTTCTTAACATGGAAACTAGGAGAGTTTTGAGAACATTCGTGGCTCACACTGTGCATCTGTGGGCAGCACTGTTTTAGGGACCATGATGACACCAGGTGCTCTGGTTATTCAGCAGGTGTGTCAGCTCTTTGCTAACCACTGGGGTTCAATGGAGAGCAAGCCACCCGGGCACCTGCTTCCCCTGAGCAGTAGTAGCCTAGAGCAGTGTTTCCCACATGTGAATATACATCAGATGTATTGTAACACTGCAATGATTGACATTGCATACCTAACTTAGTGCTCTGTATATAAAATCTGTCTTAGAGCACTAGTTAAGTATACAATTTTACCTATATGTTCCCAAAAATTCTAGTTTAGCACTTCTTAGTTGGGATTCAGGAATCTGTGTTTTAACAACTCCACCAGGTGATTCTCATCATGAGAGAAGGTTGGGAAACACTGGCCTAGAGGGCCTCAGAACTTAAATAGCAATAAAAGAAACAGGTGTGAGCGGGAGTTGCGTTCACATGAAGAAATCTCACATTATCAGTTGTGTGGAGTCACAGAATGGGCTGTCAGAGTTACGTAGTTGGAGGCATGGTAAAGGCAGCTCTGTCTGTGTTCCAAATGCGTGGGCCATCCTGTGCTCCCCACAGGAGTGAGGACCCCACGGTCATATACCATAGAATTATTTTTGTAGGATCCTCCTCAGATGCTACCTTATTCCCACAACTGTTCATTGACACTGTGGGGACAGATGGTTATTTGATGAGGGAACATTCTCTCTTATTCATGCAGCCAAGATTAAGTCTTAAAAACTGCCTTGAAGATACTTAAAGAGGATATCCTTAAAGAATATCCTCCCTACGTATTAATGCAGGATCTTAGTTAATCAAAATGTTGATGCTCATCCTTTCTTGAAAACCACTAGAAATTACACAGTTCACGTTTTCAAACCTGATTCCATTGTATAAAGCTCACCCTGGCAAATAATTTTTACCAAAATTTTTTTTTTTTTTTTTTTTTTTTTGCCAAAGAGCTCACTGCATGGAAAAACATATTTGCCAATGTTACGTTTGATAAGGACTTAACCTCCAAAATTTATAGGGAACTCATACAACTTAACAAAAGGAAGATACACAATCCAATATAAAAATGGACCTAGGGCCTAAATAGATACTTCTCGAAAGCAGACATACAGACGGCCAAGAGATATATGAAAACATGCTCAAAGTCACTGATCATCAGAGAGATACAAATTAAAACCACAATTAAGTATCACCT